GGGCAGAAATGTAAAATGATCATAGCATCTGCCTGAGCTTTCTATGAAATTTAAAAAGACAGTCTCTTCAAGAAATGGTGCTGAAAAATTGGATATTCACATGTAAAAGAATGAAACTAGACCTCTATCCTACAGCACTCACAAAAATTAACTCAAAATGAATTAAAGACTTAACTATAAGACCTGAAACCAGGAAATCCTTAGAAAAAAAATTCCTTGACACAGGAATTGGTAATGATCTTTCAGATATGACACCTAAAGCATAAGCAATAACAACAACAAAACTATCAAGTACAACGAAATCAAACTAAAAAGCTTCTGCACATCAAAAGAAACCATTAATAAAGTAAAAAAAAGACAACTTACAAAATGGGGAAAAACTGCAAACCATGTATCCAATAAAGGATAAATATCCAAATTATACAAAGAACTCATTAGGGGGAAAAAAAACATTAAAACGGGCAAAAGACTCAAAGAGATAATCTTCCCAAAGAAGATGTATGAATGGCCAACAGATACATTAGAAGATGCTCAACATCACTAGTCATCAGGGAGAAGTAAAAAACAAAATAAAATTAAAAAAAAAAACCCTCAATGAGATTTTACCTTGTACCTGTTAGAATGACCATCATCAAAAAGACAAAACGTATTAAATGCTGGGGTAGATGTGATGAAAATGGAACACTCATGCACTGTTGGTGGGGTTGTAAACTGGTACAGCCATTATGGAAAACAGGATGAAGGATCCTCAAAAAATTAAAAATGGAACCACTATCTGATCCAGTAATTCTACTTCTAAGAATATATCCAAAGAAAATGAAAACACTAACTCAAAAAGATATCAGCACCCTCACATTCATAACAGTGTTGTTTACAGTCATTAAGACATAGAAAAAACTTGAGTGTCCACTGACAGATGAGGGGATAAAGAAGATTATGCTGAGTGATGTAAGTCAGATAGAGAAAAACAACTACTGTCTGATCTTACTCATCTGTGGAATAAAAAAAACAAAAACCCCAAAATCAAAAACCAAAAAAAAATGCCAACAACAACAAACCCAAAAACCTCGCAGAAAAAGAGACGAGATGTGTGGTTTCCAGAGGCAAGGAGTGGCAGTAAAGGATCGCATAAAGATCAGGACACACTAGCGATGTGACATACAACAAGATGAGGATAAGCCAACGCTGCTGTGTGATACATAGGGAAGAGAGTAAGAGGGTAAGTTCTAAGAGTTTTTGTCACAAGGGAAGCTCTTTTGGTTTGGTTGCTTTTACTTTTTTTAAAAAAAATTGTATATATATACGATAATGGATGCAAACTAAATCTGTTGGAGAAATAATTTCACAATTACATAAGCCAAAGCACGACACTGGATAAAAGTTACACGGTGAGTGTGTCAAGTGTATCTCTATACAACTGGTTAGGGTTAGGTCTCCTACTGTATGAAGACAACCCAGGGTTTGGGGCACCTGGGTGGCTCAGTTGGTTAAGCGTCCAACTTCGGCTCAGGTCATGATCTCGAGGTCTGGGAGTTTGAGCACTGCAGTGGGCTCTGTGCTGACAACTCTGAGCCTGGAACCTGCTTCAGATTCTGTATTTCCCTCTCATTCTGCCCCTCCCCCACTCACACTCTGTCTCTCTCTCTCTTTCAAAACTGAATAAATATTTAAAAAGAAGAAGAAAAAGATGATGACGACAACAACCCAGGGGCATCATTACCAAGAAGCACTAAATAAAGAAATAAATAAAGGTGCATAGAAGAACCTATTTCTGGTACTTGGCAACTGTGGAAGAAGGGGAAGAGAAAAGTTATATAATGCACTGCTTAACAAAACTCAAAAAGTTCATTTATTTATTTACTTTTAAAATTTTTTTTAAGTAATCTCTATACCAAATGGGGGGCTTAAATTCACAAAGAGCCACATGCTCCACCGACTAAGCCAGCCAGGAGCCCCAAAACACACCAATTTTTGACAGGGTATTATCTGCAGAGTGGTATGCAGTCCTGCGATGACACAGTGTGCACCGAGCAGAGCCTGCCTAAAGATGCATTTGAAGATGGATATAATTTTAGGAAACTGAGCAACTTGCTTCAGTCCTGAATAGATCAGAAAATACTCCCTGAAGACATGAGCATACTTTGTCATGTAGTGAAGAATTACAGTTTTTAGTGTTTGCTTGTTTGTTTATTTTTAATGTTTATTTATTTTTGAGAGACATAAGACAGAGCATGAGAAGGTGAAGGGCAGAGATAGAGAGAGACACAGAATCCATAACAGGTTCCAGGCTCTGAGCTGTCAGCACAGAGTCCCACGCGGGGCTCAAACTCACAAACCATGAGATCATGACCGGAGCTGAAGTAGGACCAATTGAGCCATCAAGGCGTCCCAATGTTTATTTATTTTTGAGAGAGGGGAGGAGGGAGGGACAAAGAGGGAGAGAGAGAATGCAAGTGGGGGTGGTGGCAGAGAGAGAGGGGGACAGAGGATCTACAGCAAGCTTTGTGCTTGACAGCAGTGAGCCCAATGTGGGTTCAAACTCATGAACTGTAAGATCATGACCTGAGCCGAAGCCAGACATTCATGCAACTGAAACCCAGGTGTCCCAAGAGTTGCAGTTAAAATTTTTCATGTCTAAACCTGCATTATGTAGTATAGTTCAAGAGAACAAATGAGAGAGAGGGGAGACATAGTGCCGTGATGGCCAAGAGGGGCTGGCTGGGTTAGAATACGTCCAGAAGTCACTCCCAGCTCAGATGTTCTAGGAATCTAGGTGAGTAGAGCTTACCTGTTTACACACAGGAGATATTCTCCTTCATAACCTTGGAAGAACACAACAGGGCACACTCTGTCCTTTGCTTCCCTGCACCTGAGCAGCATATGACCATGAAGGGACAGAGGGAGCATTAAGTTCAGAGCCAGAAGGCAAGGTTTGAGTTCTGCCTTGGCTGCTTCCACACTATATGAACTTGAAAAAATACCTACACTGTGCCTCATTTCCCCACCTGTGATATGGGGATACTAAGGTTATCCACCTTGTAGAGTTATTGTGAGGATTAAGAGACTTAACATATTTATTATTCTTTTTTTTAAGAAAGACAGAATTCAAGCAGGGGAGAGGCATAGAGGGAGAGGGAGGGAGTGAGGGAGGAAAAGAGGGAAAGAGGAGAGAGAGAGAGAGAGAGAGAGAGAGAGAGAGAATCTCAAGCAGGCCCCATGCTCAGCATAGAGCCCAACATGGGGCTTGATCCCACAACCTTGAAACCCATGATCTGAACTGAAACCAAGAGTTGGACGCAATGGACCAAGCCACCCAGGTGCCCCATGAGTTAACATACTTAATGGGCTCAGAACGCTGTCTAGTAGACATCAAAGCTCATATAAGTGCTTGCTAATATTATGCTTTTCCACCTGAAATTCTTCATATTGAGTCTGAGCTGTCTCAACATAGGGGGAAAAAAAGACCTTCCTCCTATAATCTGCATTATATAGTTTTATCGGGGAGGTTTGTTTTATTAGATCTTCCTCAGACTCTCCTTTGCTCCTCACCTTTAATATCCTTCTGGTCTCAGTCAGGCTGGATGTACAGATACAAGCGACCTCCGGACCAGAACACCTTCTGGAGTCATTGTAGGAGAAGCGGACACTTGGGCTCACATGGGCCCTGACACGCCTCAGCAGACACTTGCCTCAGGTCACACAGCAGTCAGTCTCTCTAGTTTTAGATCTGTTTTTGATCCAAAGATTCCAGCATATGATCTAGCACATCTTTTATCATTTTACTCCTTGTGTATTTCATTCCATTTGCACAAGTTTTTTTGATAAGAAGCTCTTGGCTGAAGGTCTTTGCACAGACTTTTGTACAGAATACAGTTCTGCACTTCCACATTCATGCACACACTTGGCATCAAATTTCTAGCTGTCCTCCCACCCCCAGCACCCTGTGGGGTGTGCTGGAGGCGCACTTTTCATCTGGACTTTTCAACAGTTATCACTAGTTTTATTGCCAAAAATAAAATACCTGTCTAGTTTATTTCTACACTGCAAATGCTTTTTTTTTTTAATGTTTTATTTATTTCTAGGAGAGAGAGAGACAGCGTGAGCAGGGGAGGGTCAGAGAGAGAGAGAGTCACAGACTCTGAAACAGGCTCCAGGCTCTGAGCTGGCAGTCAGCACAGAGCACGACGCGGGGCTCGAACCCACGAACCGCGAGATCATGACCCAAGTGAAAGTCGGATGCTTAACCGACTAAGCCACCCAGGCGCCCCACAAATGCTCTCTTAAGAGAATACAAATAATCTTGTAGTTATTAGCAACTGCTAATTACCATAAAAAGGTGTTAATTCTTATTGTGACATTTATATTCATTTAATGCAATGAACACATCGATAGTGTTGACTAACAGTGCCCTGGGGCAATGCCCATTTTACAGGCAAAACTACAAGGCACAAAAGGGTTTAGGTCATGCAGCTATAAGGACGAAGCTGGACTTGGAACTTTGGAATCCAATCCAGAATCCATCCTTGTAATCAGTCTTTAAAGAGCTCTGCTTCTCCCTAACACAGTATAAGAGTAAGTGAAAAACAAGAGATGATTAAAAAATGAGCTGCCATTCCTGATGAGGTAGTCTTGATGGTCTAGTCTTTTTTTTGGGTTTTTTTTTTTTAACTTAATGTTTATTTATTTTTTGAGACAGAGAGACAGAGCACAGCCAGGGAGAGGCAAAGAGAGAGAAGGAGACACAGAATTAAAGCAGGCTCCAGGCTCCGAGCTGTCAGCATAGAGCCCAACACGTGGCTCAAATTCATGAACCTGAGCCAAAGTTGGATGCTCAATCGACTGAGCCACCCAGGTGCCCCTAAATTTAAAATCAAGTTAGTTAACATACAGTGGTGTCATGGCTTCAGGAGTAGAATCCAATAATTCATCTCTAACAAATGATACCCCAGCGCTCAACCCCAAAAGTGCCCTCCTTAATGCCCATCACCCATTTAACCCATAAAAATATGGAATGTGTCATGAATTTGCATGTCATCCTTGTGCAGGGTCATGCTAATCTCTGTATCTTTCCATTTTAGTATATGTGCTGACAAAGTGAGCACTCAACACTGTTTTTGATGATGAAACCCATTTAAGAGACGAGAGACATGAGACGGACCCAGCTGTCCTCAGCTGAGACATAATTTACCACTGCATCAACTATATGGAGACCTAATGCTACTTCCCTTTCTCCAGTGCAGCTGCCTCCGGCAGGCACGCAGGTGACCGAGCTAGTGTCCATCAAGATTTTATTTCATGTATCACATCAACCCTAGGAGAGGACACCTGTGTTGCATCCTGCCTTGGCACTAAAGATAAAACACTCAGGTAGTGACCAACTTCTTTCTTTTGACTACCGTGCCCAAGTAAATAAAACCCACTTTAAAAGCCTAGGCATCAAAAGGGCTTGATTCAATCAAGAGGCGCATTGGCTTGAGAAAATGAAGCTAAGTTATACATACTGCAAAGAAACTTTAATGAACTCAGTTCCAGATGAAGTCCTTAAGCCATGATAATGTACCCAAGGGAGGTCACAGACACTTAACTTCAAGCATGACTTAAAGTCAGTGACACAGCACAATTATTTCAGCAAAGACAATGCTAAAAGTATTTAATATCCAGCATGGTAGGAGTGAAACCCAATCAGATCAGACACTGGTGTTAAGCACCAGTCTTTGGTAGCAGTGCATAGGAGCTGAAGCTTCAGTTTTGTCCCTGACAGTAAAACATAAGTTTAGTACCCACAGAGAACAAGGAACAATCAAGGTCAAAGGGAGAAATTGCTGGCTGTGATTTTGTTTTTAATAAGACATTTTCCTTGAGTGAGTACATCCAAGATAACAGTTTCTCAGAGACAAGACTCCTCTTCTCTTCCTCCAGTCAACCAGGCAGAGGATGCCATCTAACTGGCTGTGTGTGGAAGAAATAAAATCGGCCAATGCTCCTATGTGCATGCCAACCCCCAGGGACCTAAGGAAGCAGGATGGGAATGTGGATTCCAGGAACTGTCCATAAAACACCCCCAGGGAACAAAAGCTCTCCTGAGTTGGTGGGAGGTTGGAGGTGGGAAGATGCAGCCTGGATAGAGAGCATGTCCACGGGACAGATGGGGGCAAGCTTCACTTGTAAACCCTTCTCCCCACAGCCTTAGGACAACTGCTTGCTCTTTGCTGGCCACTGGGATCAGTATGGAATGTCAGGAGAGCAACAGACCACCCCCCCAAGGGTAGGGACATATCCAAAATAGGTGCCAACTAACTTTGACTTTGGGCTTTCAATCTTTCCTACCTTCCTCACACAAATCCTTAGAAGGCTGGTTAGTTAGAGCCTGGGAGATTATCTCTGTTAAGTCACAGTCCTCTCATGCTCACTTTGGCAGCACATATACTAAAAAAAGTTATACTCCTCTCTGAGGTGGAAAGCCCTGGCTAGCATCCCGTGATGTTGGCAGAAATGGAGTGAGCAGCTCTCTGGCACCTGTGACTCTCAGACTAAGGCTCCCCTTCTCCCCACTCCTTAAACACACGAGGTGACAAGGACTGAGCCTGGCCTTGGCACTCCCCACCATGGGATCTATCTAAGAAGCTGAGGCTCTGAGGACAACACAAGTTCATGGACCATGGAGGCAGAACTGTCAAACAGACCAAAGAATGTAAAGTAATCAAAACAAACAGACCTAAGAATTAAAAACCTATCGTGAACCTGAACTTCCTATTTAGTATCAAAACGCATGGAAGGACTGCAAATCCACTGCACAATCCGGAGAGCCACCACCAGGGAACAAGGCCACCAGTCCCCAGCTATCTGTGAAATTCCGAGTCCAATTCCTTCCAGTCTCCTTCAAACTTTAATGTCAGGTGCCAGAAAGGAGTCATATGGTTGGAAATAAGCAATGGTCGGAAAAGATAATAAAATCAATCAACTCTATGCCATAAAGCACTACAGTGTTCTTTCCAAATGTGAGACAGTTGAAGTTTTTTTTTTTTTAATCTCAAAAGAACCATTTTATAAAAACACAATTTGCCATCTATCCGACACTAGGGGTTTTAGAAAAGCATTCTGAAATGGACAGAGATTCCGGGTAATGCAGCAACTTTCATCACTTGTTTCATTCAGAAAGGAATGTTATGTTTCATTTGGACTTTAAGGGACATTTTTTTCCCCACTTTTCACACTGCTGGTAAAACAGATTTAAAAAAAAAAAAAAGCCCTCCAAATCTAGAGTCTCTATTCTCTGTTCTGTTTTTCTTTCTAGCTATCACTTAATGCTTCACTGAGAAAGGAAGGAGAAAGGCTGTATGTAGACTTTTCTAGTCTCCTTCAAAAAGGAATCATTTTTGACAAGGGACTTAGCTAACTATTTAACTGTAAACACATTATTTCAAACACTGAGTGAATATCTTTGAAAATGTACACAGTGTTTACCTGTCTAAGTGATCGATCAGCATCAAACACAATTTACATATTGTAACGACCCAGATCGCTACTGAAAACATCAGGCATTATAATATGCTCTAGATGAAGCTGCAGGTCGAGATGGATTAGGTTATGAGGGGGTGGTGGGGTGAAACGGGTACTGACCCCAACATCTATCACCAAAGGTTGTCTTTACAGAGTCTGCAATATCATGGTGATTCTGATTTAATGTTTCTCTTAAGGGTCAGGTGCACAGTCTCCTGGCTATAACCATGGCTGGCTTTCTGGACAATGGGAATATCTGAATCAGTCAATGGCTAAAGTTGCCTTCTTCAAAGCCACCTACTAGAAAACTGTCCTTTCCTGATATCATTAAGTGTTGCTTGAACTGATATCATTCTAAAAGGTTAGCTATGATTTCTACATCTCCAACAGGGGAATACAATATTCTGTGACCTCTTGCCTTTTCTAATTGGATTGTTCACACCTAAGTATGTATTAAGGGGGAGGATCCTGGCACACAAGATTCTGGGGCAGATGAGTCACAGGGTATACATTTTTCCATTTGAAAAATGATGAGCTTAAGCTCTGCAAGAAATAGTTGTGGCATCTTTGGAAGATTTAAGCTATTATACTTCTGGATGCCTGGATGGCTCAGTCCATTAAATGTCTGACTCTTGATTTTGGCTCAAGTCGTGATCTCATAGTACCTGAGATTGAGCCCCATGTCAGGCTCTGCACTGACAGCATGGAGCCTGCTTGGGAATCTCTCTCTCCTTCTCTCTCTGCCCCTCCCCCACTTGCGCTGGCTTGCTTGAACTCACTGTCTCTCAAAATAAACAAATAAGCTTAAAAAATAAACTATCATATTTTATTCTATCTATTAATATCTATTATTGATATCTATTAATATTTTTTAAATATTCTATTTAAAAAATAAAATATCATATCATATTCTAGGTACCACATGCTATGCGGCACGTGAGCATGAAGCTTAGGAAATTCAAGACCCCGGAAAGATTCCTTCCTCTGCTTAAACCCAGACGGACCTTCCTTCACGGCACTTATTCAGAGTGGGGAACAACTGGCAAGAACCTCAAAGAAGGCCACTTTCATCACTGCAAAACTATCTGTGGAATAAACTGTACAAAACTAAGACTCAGAGAAATTATGCAGCCTCCTGACCAGCATTTCAGTCAGCTATTCGTGAAATTCCCAAATTGCTTTCCAAGTGCTAAGAACATTCTAAAGAAAACCCAGCCTTCAGAAATACATCAACTCAGTCAACTGGACTTGCTTGTACAAATCTTTTGTCTTTTCAATTAAATTTGGCCCCAAGACATAGTTCTATATGAAGCCTGGTCTAATTTATCTATTTTTCCCTCAAAACATTCATAGTGGCTGTTCTTATAGACGCTACACTAAAGTTTATGACTAGTGATACTAGTCAACTTTAGATGATGCACGATGTGGATAAGAAAAAAGGTTCTGTGCACAGCTCTTTCTGAGCCTCGCTACCATTGAATGAGATTGAATAGTGGTTGGCTGGGTGGCAGATAATGCCAGAGCCCTGATCAAACCCTCATCCTCGGCATTCAGTGAAATTCCAGCAGCCAAGTTCTGCATTTCTTTGCTTAAAGATTTGCTCTGACCATAGCGGCCGCTGGAAAAGCCACAGAATCAATGGCCTCTGGGGGCCACACTGCTCAATGACAGAGAAAAGTTGGTTGTAATCACCCTGTCTCGGCCCCTCAGGTGGGTGAAATGTAAGACTCATGTCCTACTCAGTTTCCCAGAATTCCCCAAGCAAAAAGCCCCAGTTACCCATGGTTGTAACACTTGTTAACACACTCTCTCTGACCCCTTCTCTACCGCGTCTCAGTGTGACTCGTTTCCCAAATAAACCTTCAATCCTTTTCTCAAGGTCTGTGTCTGGGGGTACCAAACAACGGTAAGGTACTTCATTAACACAACCTTTGACTGACCCTTTTCAGGTCTTCGTCAGACTTCTATTTAAGTCTGCACCAATCTGATTTTTGTCCGCCGATCTTTCTCTATTTTTTTTTCCTTTTTTTGGAGGGAGAGAGACAGAAGAGAGAGCATGCTCACACATGATCTCTGGGTGGGAGGAGGCCGCAGGGCAGGGGCAGAGGGAGAGAGAGAATCCTAAGCAGCCTCTACTCTCAACACGGAACCCAACACAGGGCTTGATCCCATGACCCTGGGATCATGACCTGAGCAAAAATCAAGAGTCGGACCCTCAACCGACTGAGCCACCCAGCCACCCCTGTCCAATGACCTTTTCTAATGGAAACCTAAAGTTCCCAGGGCACCCCCTCGCTCTGCTCTGCTATTCACACAAAGACACAGAGTCTAGCAGTGCAGCTGGAAATGGACCAGCTGAGGAGATCATGTTCCGCGGTCTCAGAGTAAGATGACGCATACATAAGGACTCAGGAAACAGTTATGTATGAATGAAATAAATTTATGTTATGCATGTGTGTATATATGATCTAAGGATATGCATATCATCAATGTTAACTGTCTCTAAAAACTAAGCAACATTATACCCCTCGAAGAAAAAAAGCAATTCATTAAAAGTATACATGTAACCACAGTAGAGAAAATTTGCTTAGTGAAAAATATT